TTAGAATATCAGATGAAAATGATTAGTCAGCATTGTGGTTTAATCTCTGTAGCAGCCAAGCCCCTGGAGCCACTTGCTCACTCCTCCACAGTGGGATGGGGGAGAGAATCCAAAGGGCGAAGGTGTGAAAACACATGGGCTGAGATAAAGACAGTTTAATAGGTAAAGGAAGGCCACGTGCACAAGCAAAGCAAAACAAGGAATTCAGTCCCCATTTCCCGTGGGCAGGCAGGCATTCAGCCATCCCCAGGACAGCAGGGCTTCATCATGCATAGCAGTGACTTGGGAAGACAAACTCTGTAACTCCAAACATCTCCCTCTCTTTCCTCCTTCTGCCAGCTATTACTGCTGAGCATGACACCGTATGGTGTGAGATACCCCTGGGGTCAGCTGGGGTCAGCCATCCTGGCCATGTCCCCTCCCAGCTCCTCGAGCATCCCCAGCCTGCTCGCTGGCAGGGCAGGGCGAGGAGCAGAACAGCAAGTGCAGCTCAGCAGGAGCTGTGTTATCTGCACTGTCTTGGTCATAAATCCAAAATATAGGACAGCATAAACTTCTCTGAAGAAAACTAGCTCTACTCCATCCAAAACCAGTACAGTCAGGAAAATGTACTTGTTAAGAGAAGGCTGAATCCTGTAGCCCAGGATCCTGTACCCCTCCAAGGCTGCTACAGCTCCCTGTCTCTAGGTCCAACCTAAGGCTGAGCAGGTGCTCCCAGTAAACGCACACACCAAATACTTGTATATAGCACATATATACACAGATTGACAGACAGACACAGCACTCAAAAACACCAGCAGCACCAGTGGCTTCAACCTGTTTGGCAGATCAGGATGAAGGTCCATTAGTTTATGGAATTCCTGCTAATGGACCTTCCTCCACTGAAGATTTTATTTATATATACATACCCATGCACATACATGTATTACTGTACATATGCACAGGTGTGTGACATAACAGTCATATATTTTGTTTTAGATACCACACAGGTTCGCTGGCATTCGGCGCCTTAATTCTTGCAATTGTCCAGCTTATTAGAGTAATACTGGAGTACTTGGATCACAAACTGAAAGGTGAGGTTTATGAATCTGCTGTAGGTTGGTAAGACCTCCTTTGCTAAATTACTTCTTTACTTTTCCAAGTGTTTTTTTAACAATGAGAAGAGATTAATTTCACATTATCCATTGTAGTTTCATTTGAAACTGGTAGATTTGTGCTAATTTACTCAAACTGAGTCTATGTTCTTTGGAACGTAATGTAAAGTTCAAGTAAAATGTGAATCTGATCTAATTGAAAGCTAGTGAGATAAATTTGGTCGAGAAAGAGAGTCCATACCTAGAAGGAAAGAAACAACATTTCTGCTTTTGTCACAATTTAAGATTTTTTTTTTAATAGCTTTCTACATTCTGAAGATGGTTTATGAATTGTACGTATGATGTACTCTCTTCTGGTTTTTTTAGGTACTCAGAACTCCTTCACTAGATTTCTACTCTGCTGCCTCAAGTGCTGTTTCTGGTGTTTGGAAAAATTCTTAAAATTTATAAACAGAAATGCCTACATCATGGTATGTGCCATGTCTACATGTGGTCTACCCTATCTGGGACACATAAATACCCTAGCCATTACTAGTTGGTCAACAGTCAGCAGTACTTGAATCTGCTGAATAAATAGTGGGATTTATGGGAGTTTTCAGGACATGCATGTGGTTCTACCATGAAAAAATAAGATTTTTTTTTTCTTCTAATCTCAGCCTCTTTTTATGCCTGTCTTTGTCTGTCATCCCCACCCCCAAAGCAAGTGGGAAGGGATGGCATAACTGGTTAATTCTCCCTCTGATTCAGCAGTTGAGATACTGATTTCAACAAGGGTATTACCTTTTTTCATATTGCATGTTGATGACACTTCTGTTTGGAGGCAGTGTTTGAATAAGGAAGTCAGAAGGCATGTGATAACTGTATTTCCACCTGGAAGTTAAAAGCACAAATTCTACTAGCAGCAGTAGTGATATTTCTCTAAAATAACCCTTCTTAGCTTCCAGATAAGAGAAATTTGAAATTTTCACATAAATAAACAAACACAGATTTAAGCCTAGGATATTCTGACTTGAAGCAATTTCAGTGATTGAATGGTATGGTCACAGACTTCTTGTCTCAAAGGAGGTGGCTGTAGTGGGTCCATTATAACCTATGTTCCTGCAATTGGTGTTTCAAATTAAGGCTATCTTGAAGAGGAAGTATTGTTTTTGACAGTCTTTACAGTTGATAAACTGTCTGAGATAAGTGTATCCAGTGTATCTTACCCTTGTGGACACTATTCCAGGAAGAAATGGTTTTGTTCCTGGATAACTTTAACTGCTTTACTTTATGCTGATTTCTTCAGTGAAAGCAGCATATGGTCCAAGAAGGTACCTACAGGAGTCAGCTCACTTCAGCTCTACAAGTGCCTGTTGCTTTCCACTGACCATAAATCTAATGTGGGTAACTAGCAAAGGGAGAAGAAACCCTCAGCGAGTACCTTTTTTGCTCTGCTTGGCAAACTGAGTACTGAGTCTACTGCCTGTAGGATCACAAGGGGTGGCATGCTCATCACCAGGTGATTTGAAGGGGAAAGGCGGAAAATACTCTGTCCCTACCTGGTGGGAAGCATTGAGAAGCAGTAGGAGACTGGGTGAAGTGCTTTATGTTCATCTGAGTTCGAAGGCCATATATTAGAGAAAACTACGCATTACACGCAGGAAGATTCTGGCATACAAGGAGATATCCTAATTATTTTAAATACCTAATAGCTACTATTATTTTTCAGATTGCCATATATGGTAAAAACTTCTGCACCTCGGCAAGGGACGCATTCTATTTGCTTATGCGGAATGTGGTGAGGTAAGGGACCATCTCCCAGTCCTTGGAAATGTCAGGAGTTGCCGCTATTGCACTCCGAAGACATACTTCTTTCCTCTCATATATCTCCTCCAAATACTACTGTGAGCTGCTCTGTCCTCAGCCGTGGCCCTCACTATCACTCAGTGTGTAACAGCAGGCTGTCCAGCTGTACAGTAACCTGTGCAAAGTTGATATAATCTCATGGGTTTGTTGTGATTGCTCCTTTAAATTCGTAAGAACCCAGTAGATTGTAATAATGCCTCCAAGAAACCAGTGGTGCCCCTGAGAGATCTGTGGATACACAGGAATGGGATGCTCATTGTCTGCCATATGTGTGTTTCTTGAGCTTTGGTCCACTTACTGTCTGGGAAAAGGAAAGCAGAAAGACTTAAGTCTTCAGATTCATTCAGAAAGCTTATAGGGTGTCAGACAGTGGAAGGAAAGAAGAGAGAGTACTTTGCTTTCAAAAAGAGTATCGTTTACATAACCAGATCTCCCCTGGTGCTGGGAACTGTCCTGCCCTTTTCTCCACTATCAAGTCTGCTGCCAAACTCCCTGTTCTCATCAGTACTTTCCTTCATTGTGTCTGGCTCTTCCTTTACTACTGTGAGATCAAAAAACAATGGGAGAATAACTTAGGAGCAGGCCATGTTGATGCAATAGCAGACAGTCTAATTACCAAGCAAGAGACACAGTAAAACTAGTTAAGTAGTTTAGATTATAAAGTGAAGGACTGGGAGGAGGAGAGAAATGGAGAGGGAGGCTGAAGGAGAAGATGGAAATGATGCTTCAGGAAGAAGAAGAAAGGATTGAAGATGGGACAATAGAGTGCTTTCACTGTGTTAGTCTGCACTCATATCAGGGCAGTGATGTCCACACCATGTAGTGCCTATGCAATAGAAAAGCTGCCTTCATTTCCTGACAGAATATCATCTCTCTGTCCTTTGTGATTTTACTCTTAATCCGTAAAAGCAATATCTAAAAGCCAGGCATATAATTTTGTTGTTTCAAATGAAGATGTTTTATCTTGTGTATTTTGCGAAATCTGAATTCTGACATATTAATGGTGATTGGTCTCTTTAGTAGTTCTTAATGTTTATTTTTCGTGGTAGTCAGTGCTGTCTATTACTATATCCATAGACCTCAGTGCTGTGAAGAGTTTGATGATACAAAGCTCATTTCAGCTCATCGGTATTGTTGTTCTGTCAGCCTGTGAAATCAGCAGAAGACAGCTTCTGGTCATGTTTTGCCATATCCATAGATTTAAGGAGAAAGAATACAAATTCTGTTCTGTGATGATTATGTATCATTTATCTTTTGCTGAACAGAGTTGCAGTTCTGGACAAAGTAACAGACTTCCTTTTATTCCTGGGGAAAATTCTTGTTGCTGGTGGTGTAGGTAAGCTAATTGTTTTTTTTCTGAGTTGTGTGTTCTAGTTTCTGGTACCTACAAACATGGCTGCTGTAATCATATATGCTTAATTAACAGCTGGAGGTTCTCATCAGTCTGACTGTTTGGAAATCTGTTCCTGTGTTTCTAGAATTTGCAAGATTGAACTAAAATTTTTTTTTTCCTTTCTTCTTCCCCCTTCTCCCCCCTCCCAAGCCCCTGATGTGCCTTGACAGCATCTTTTCCTTAATTGCTTTTACGGCTCTTCTGTGTGTGTGGCTGGCACAAGGTCTTCTGCAGCCACAGCATCATAGTTGGATCAAAACAAATTCACACCCAATAAGTCAGCCACAGTCAGTTCTCCTTTCATAAGAACTGAACAAAATTGCAAATGAGATTCACCTGGTAGCAGACAAGATGCCTAGAAGAGGTGTTTCAGGTCTGCAGGAGATAGGCCGGAAGCTCTGCTGTATTCTAGGCCATTAAAACTATAAGCTAAAGAAATAGAATATTTCTAGCATTCTTATAGGGTTTTCTTGGTTATCAGGAAATATCAAAATAGATTACTCATGGTTTTCTGTGACAGAAAAGTGTTTTTCTGTTTTTTAAATGAAACAATCTCAGAAATTCAGGTTGGCAGTATTCCCTTTTGTTTTTTTAAATTGTCACAGCAGTTTTAAAAACACATTTTACAAATAACCATATTTTGCATTCCGTATACCTTAAAAGATAACTAATTAATTATATTTTAATCAAAAATTGAAAACTAGTAACCAGAACTCATCTAAAGTATTTTGTCATTACTGTAGAATTACATCATTTATTAATTTTGCTATTAAATTCAGTAGAATGATGAAACAGACCAATTCATTAAAATATTTCTGGGCCCATGAGTATGTTTATGGTAATGAATTCATTTACATATATCTTCTGTTAGATAATTAGTATTGAGGAATTTATTGTTTACAAACTTTTATTTAAACCAACCTTGGATCTGTTGTCTGTCTCGTCCATTCTTTAGATGTTAAGAAATAAGGGCTAGCATGGAAGTCACTAATTGCCTGTGCTTCTTGCAGGTGTCCTTGCATTCTTTTTCTTCACACAGAAAATTCCAATCTTTGCACAGGAAGTGCCAACGTTAAATTACTACTGGGTACCATTGTTGGTAAGGCAACCATCTAATCTTCTGAACGCTGGGGGCAGTTCGAGGTGCTCAGACTGCTCAGGGCATGGTCTGATCACAACTTCTGTGGTCAGCCCCTCAGTGGCATAGTATCCACTGAGGTGAGGACTGATCTGCTCTGCTGCAGTCCTGAAGGCAGTGCAGTGACTCTGCATCTTCAGAAAAATTAGGTTTCACATCTGCTTTTCTTAGACTTCCCAGACAATAAAGGCTGGTGGTGAGGCACTGATGGCAGGGTGGCTTCTAATGGAGGGGATGTGCAATGCATCTCCAGGATGAGTGTTTCTTGAAGGAGTTCAGAATATTCTTGGCATATATTCTCTCTGGAGGTTGAAATAATTCTGTTTTGGCAGCTGGAAAATGAGTGGCTACTGCATGTTAGAATGCAGTGTCTTGACCCTGTGATCTCTGTCCACAGCACTAGAAACCTTTGGTAGAAATACAGAGCTGACATTAAATTCTCCCAAATTTGCTTAGCAGACTAGGCTTCTGACTTGTGTTAATAGTGCCACATTGGCACCAAAAGAAGTTTGGGGGTTTATTGTGGTGGTTTTTTATTTTAGACAGTCATCATTGGCTCCTACCTAGTTGCACACGGGTTCTTCAGTGTCTATGCAATGTGTGTCGACACGCTTTTCCTCTGCTTCTGTAAGTACTACCTTTTCTTTCAGTAATACCTGCAAGTCATGGAAGGGGGAGTAGAAAACCACCTTGTCCTTTCCTTACAGAATTCTGGTGGCATACTGGCAGACTGTGAAAAATTAGCAGCTTCTTCTTTTCAGATACTCTCCTTGATGCATTCTGTTTTAGTATTCAAATTTAATTAGTTTAAAAAATGTAAGGTAGCTTCATGGTTCATGGTGGTACCTGGCTTTTGTCTTTCAGATATTCCTTAAATTTCAGTAAGTTTGCTTCAGGGTGTTTTGTGAAAAGCCCTGTACAGTATTGATTCACTTAAACTTCTTGATAATAACAAATATATTCTTTGGTATGTGTACTTTGTTTTCAGCATAATAACCCTGAACGAAGTATTATGCTGAATCACCTTAAGAATTCTGTAAAATATCACTTGAAACTATTTGTCCCTTGGACCCCCGATGGCAAGCAATGATGGGCACTGTCACAGGGACAGAGAATACTGAAATTACAAAAGAAATCTGTTGGTCTCAAATTGGGACATGATTATAAGAAGTGGATGTCCTTAGTATATAATACCTTCCCTGTGCTAGATTTTTCTATAAAGAAATTCATTCTGATAGGTCAGTGTAGAAGTTACATGGTAGTGATTGGTCTTCAAATTGGCAAATTTAATAATACTAAGGGAATACTGAAATAGTCATAAGCTTGATCTTTCATATATATGCACAGTGGATTACTGATGTGAGATAAACTGACTTTAGCTGTGCTTCCCTGAAAACTGAGGTTAGCAGTGATTCTGGAAAAACTAGGTTGCCGAAGAGTCATAGGAACAAAATCAATTAGAAAACTGAAAGTTGAGAGCTATGTCCTATTTATCTCAAGTAATGGACCTTGGTTCAATACAAACAGGCAAATATGGCACTAACAACTCTCTGAGAAATAAACTAAACCATTAATTGTTATTAAACCATAAATTGTTATTTATTTATTTATTATTAGTGTTTGTGTTAGTATTATTAGTATTCAAATCAGTATTGAAATTTTATTTATTTATTTATTTTAGAAAGAAAGAAATGGAATTTAGCAGATTTGTTGGTGCACTCCAAAATTAGAAGATTTTTCTTTTAGTTTATGCCAAAGACACAGGGCATATGCTACCACAGAGATATATTAGGATTTGCCATCTCTGACCTCCTTAGCCACTCCTCAGAACTGGTGCTTTCATTTTGGCTCTGCAGATCCAGCCTTTGCAGGGTTGCAGTTGCAATGTCTGTGCTTCACTGCACACTCCCTCCCGACTGCCTTCGATGTGTAATTGGTCACTGGTCTGTGACTGCTGCATGGCACCAGCTGGGCTGAATCCTGACCAGTGACTTAGTCATGACCTTCTGTAGGAAAAAAAGTAATAAGTCTGCCTTGGTTTTTTACATTCGTATTCTGTTCTGCTTCCCCTGCTTCCGTTCAGTAATGGACTATAGATCATATAGAATATTGCGCACTCATGGCAGCAGGTTTTCAAATGAACTTTATCTTAGGAAGCGAAAAAGAGTCCAGAGTTAAAAAGTGCTTAAATCCATAGCTCTCTTTGTGATAAATTTGCTAGCAAGAGGTGTCCAAAATGCCAGGCTTCAGTGGAGGAATGAGAATTTCTGAAAATTTCCACCTATACAGCCAAACCAAAGATCTGGAGAATAAAAAGGATATATTGCTTTCACGTAAAAATGTCTAGATGTTTGTGTCTCTGTTTCATGTAAAACCCCTTGTGATTTGAGAAAATAGAAATTTTATAGTGTTCTTGATCAAGGACATAATTAATAATACAGCTTAATTGCATTGATTGAGATTTTTCTTAATGTTAGGTCTTTTACTCTCTCCTTACTTCAATTCTGTTTGTATCTGTGTGTGTGTGTGGTTGTACTGCTGTTGGCTTTTTTGACTGCTTTTGCTGTGTAAATTCAGGTGAAGACCTGGAAAGAAATGATGGATCTACAGCAAAACCCTACTTCATGTCAGCAAGCCTCCACAGAATTCTAGGGAAGAAGAAACTAAGCCCTAAGAAGGCAGTGGGATAACATGCACTGAACCTCGACATCAAAAAGTGTCACTTTTAAGCAAAACGTGTATAAAGTAGGCAAAAGTAAAAACCGTAAATTATGCTTCTGGTTAATGGGTGATTCTTTTTTTCCTTTTGCTTATATTTAATACAAAAGAGCAACATCAGTAACATTTAATTAGTTTAAATGCTTAAACTAACAGCTGTGAAAACAAGGCCACGTTTTAGTTTATAGAGTGCCTATGGAAAGGAAAATGTAAATTTGAAGCTTTTATAAGTCTATAATGATGTTTTAATAATTTTTGTAATACAAGTTGCTGCCTTAGATGACAGCAGTTTTGATAATGTTTCTTTTTATAAGTGTATATTTGTAAAAGAAATTCAGGCAATTTTTTGAAAGCACTAACATATAACCTAATTAGCCATAAAAAAGATAGTTTAAGACTCTAGTTAACCTGGAGATGGTACTAAATTTGTAAATATGGTGCTATGATTGTATTTTTTTGTACAAGCTGGTTCACAGCTATTTAAACTGTGATTATACATGCATTAATGATTCCCTACACTGAAAAACGTAGTGATATTTTAATCACATCCACAACTGCATCTTTTAAGACATGATGGTACCCTGCAGGTCCTCAAAGAAGGAAGTCAGAAAAGACTTTAGTTGATACTGCTTAAAGTGAAGTTTTCTGTAAGTTGTGCTTAAAAGATGATGTAACTGAGAGAAGGTCCCACTGCACTTGAAGTGATTTGTGGTTCACACAAATGAGGTTTCATCTGGTACAAGATGGTGAATGTATCATTTTTAGCTGATGTCTAAGAGAGATGCACATGTGTTAATATTAATATCCCCCTATCTCTGACAAGTCTCTGAATGTGTTCTGTGTTGCAAGGACGTTGAGCTTCACTGAAAGGAAAACCAAATACAAGTCTTTTTTTCCTTGAAAGAAAGTCTTTGCCGTGTGTGTGCACAAGGAGTTCCATTGCCTCTGCCCAGCTCAGAAGGGCTCTTTACCAAGCCATTGGAACAACTGTGCAACTGCTGAGGGCCAAGGGTGCACTTTCTGCACGTCTTCAGGCTCCCAGTGGCTCACACAGTAAGGTATTAGGACATTGAATTCAAGTCTTCTCATGATACAGGATTAATTATTTGGCTACTGAGAGATGCTCTGAAAGATTTAGTTTGCTTTTTGGTTATTAAATTTGCCCAGTCATTAGTACAAAATCATTAATGCATTTAACATTCTTTGTGGTTTATGACCCTCCCACTGCGGTTAAGTAACAGCTCTGCTGATGGAAAAAGTCCAGCACTGAAGTGCTTCTCAAGTCTGTTACTTCCAGGAGCTGAGCTGAAAAGGTTTTAATTTATTAGTCTCCTGGGGGACCAAGGACCATACTGAGACCCTAGTTTTCATGGGTTCCACTGTACTAAGTTATTCCAGTACTGTCCGCTTTCCAGGAGTTGCATGTGCCATAAATTTGCCAGTTCTATGACAGGAGTTCAGCACCTGGAAATACTTTTGTAGCCCTAGGTATCAATTGGTGTCACAAAAAGAAAGGCAAATTCTTCTTCAGATGATTTGAAGGCAAGTTTCTGGAAAATGTACTGACCATCCCCATCTCAGTGGGATTTTGCTCTCTGACTTACAGCTGCAGTTTGTGATGGCTGTAATTGCTACAAGTGCAGGAACATTGTCCTTTATGCAGCGGGTCTGGGATTGTGGTGATGTGAAGGTAACCTTCTTCACCCACGCACTCACACTCATGGGCATGGACAGATCATGAAATCCTGTGACCTGAGGTGCAGGTGGGAGGGTCCTTGAGAGCATTCTCCGTGGTCCAGTGGGTGCTGCAGCACTTTTCCTTGAAACAAAAGTGAGGAATTCAGTTTAGGATTCAAATAATGTAAAATAAAGGTGTACAGTTTCAAGCATAACTACTGATTATGGGCACCTTCAGTTTTTGGTAACCCCTTGTGAGATACCCCAAAGTAAACCTGACTTTCAGAAAGGACTGAGAGCCCTGCCTTGGGAAAAAAAATCAGATTCTTGAGGGATGAAGTTTTTCATCATCATCAGTCCTTTCTCATTATGTGCATGGCATGGAATTCACACCCCTGCCAGGATTCTAATTTTTTCTGAGAATTAAGTCAGTAACTTTTGAGGGTATGTGTCACCATTCTGTGATTAAAGAAGCTGCTGGTCTAATTACAGTCCACGTTCTAAAGCTTTTTTTTTTTAATGTGATTAATTTGGTGACAAAGAAACTGCATTAAGTAATCTATATTTCTACTGGACTTGAGTGTCTTACTGGGAGCTCAACTGGAAAAGCTTCTGATACACCTTGCTTTTTTATCATATGAATGTAACCATAGAATTTACTAGGAATAAAACATAATAGAAATAGTATACAGTTATTTGATTAGAAGACTTTTGTAACAAACCTATGCATTTACTAAATGAATTTCTAAAAGTGAAAGTTTTAAATTGTATTATTATTTATATGAAGTAAAAAATATATATGTATAAATTTGCTCTTCTCACTATTTTGTGAAAGTCTTTAGAATGTAAGTGATCATCATTTCTGAGAAGAAAATTTAAAAGCCATTTTCTTAATAATTATGAGAACTGTGAAAATACAAAGCAATACCATGTAGGTTTTGTAATCAATAAATTCAGTAAGTAAATAATAATTATTTAATATTAAAATCGGCTTTTAAAAGATAAATTGCTAATAGTTCATAAGTCAAAATTAATGCAAGTATTTACTTGGGAAATAATCACCTGAGGTATTTTAAGACTGTCTTATTAGAATGGGTCCTATACCCTGTGGGCCAGAGTTGCAGATGTGCACCACGGAGGAGGTACTGGTATTGACATTTATGGATTTGGATATTTACTTTGTTGCTCGATTTAGTATAAAATTCAGAATTTCATTTTTTGCTTTAGAGAGTGGAAGACAGTCAAATATGTGGTGTGAGCTTTGCTGCTGAGCCCCCTGGGGCTGCTGCCACAGTGTCCCCCTGGTGCAGGGGCAGGGGCCCAGGCCAGCCCCGACTGACCGGGGTGGTTCCGTGCCTGCAGGGGAGGGAGGGGAGGACCCAGAACCAGCAGGCACAGGGTCCTGCCAGGTGCTTTCTCTCCTGGGAGGAACTTAGGGAAGGCAGGTGGCTCTGCAGAAAGACCCTTTTACATGAGTAGAAAGACCCCTTCTCAACATCACAAACAAGCGGAATGTAGAAACCAAGAGACAGTAGAAAACACCCCCTGTCATGACATCCACACACTCGTGTTTGTTTAGTTTGGGTTGGATTCATTGTATGTCCCTACGCCATATTTCTGGATGGCTTTCATTTCCATGTTTTATACCAAAGTTTTAATGTCAAGCCTTCAAATTTTGTAAAAAAAAAAAAAAAAAAAAAAAAAAGAGAAAGTAACCACAGAAACAAAACAAAGAAACAAGAAGATGGGATCATTTCTTCTGCGGGAGGGAGGGTGTTTCCAAATAGTATTCAGCAGCTGATTCTTGGGTGTTACAAGGATGCTGAATATTCTTCTAAATGTTAGTATTTAATTAAATATTTTACTATTGCATGTTCTGCTGTAGAACGGGAAAAATATTTTGGCAGATGCAATGTCAGGCTGATTCTGAGATAGTCAGTAAGTGTTCTTCCACAAATGGACTGTCAGAGAAGTGATTATGAAGAATAAACTGACTGGTTTTGAGTAATGCAGAATGTCTCCCTTTGACCAGTTGCTCAGCCTGAACAGCTGCGTCCTTGCAGACAAAGTGCCTTACTGGCTGTTACTTTACCTGGGTTACATTTTGAAATTTATTCATACCATGTAGACCACAAAACAAAATGCTAGGTAAGAAAACCAACACTCTTTGTTTCAAATTAACTGACAGAAAATGAATTGTAGGAAGGATGTCAGATGTGTTTGGACTGCATGATGCAGCACTCACAATTTCCCTGTTGCTGTTGTCAGATCATGAAAGTTGACAGTGTGGTCCGGGAGAAAACCTGACAATTTGGGTGTTGCAAATAATCAAAAACAATGCAAGACTGTTCCATTTTTTAATAGTAGATTTTTTTAATGGCTTTAATTTCTGTTATAGTGGACTTCTGAGTAGGGCCTATTCTGCTTTTGGTTACAATGATCGTGTGTGTTGTACTTGTGTAACTGTGGGGAGAACTGGGCTCTTGCTACTTAAAACAGAAGGAATAAAGCTAACAAACGTATTACTGTAATACATCCATTTGCGTGTTTATAAGCATAAAGTTCATTTTCCATTTCAAGACTGATAATTTCCTATTATGGAAGTGTTTTATAAATTGTTCAAATTTTTTAAACTTTTGATACAGGCAATGATTTTTGAGGTAATATGTAATTTGTACTGCACTGTAAACAATTAGAAAGGTAACTCTTCATGTACAAGTAACACTAGTACTACTAATATTAAAATTGTCTGTTGCTCTATGCTACAATATGTCCACATGTATTTGTCCCAAATAATGAGTAAACTATAAAAATGGCTCTTCAAGGTTTAAGAAATGAAAGGGAGGTTACTGTTCCATTAATGTGATTCTTAAGGTTGTATTATCTTGCCAAAACCAAATTAACACGAGCACGAGGGTTCGAGCTCTAAACCCTGTTGCTTCTGCTATGCAGAAATAGATAGGTATTGTTTAAATATCTTTGATAACGAAAGTGCTTAATTTTGTTGTTAATTCGCCGGTTTACAGTTCTTGGGGATTGTTCCAATAAAAATTTCGATATAAACCGGAGTGCGTCTGCACCGCGCCGGGCTGTTC